TAGGGAAAGCCACTTGTAGGTTTGATTGGAAGATGTTCTTTGTGCTCAGTAAAGCCTGTCAGTTCTGTGGAAAAGTCAGCTAACAAAAAGAAAATACCCTTTTCTGTTTTCTTCGGCTTTCCTACTGTCCAGCTACTGTGCACTTGATTGCCTCCATTCTGTGTCTTGGAATTTAAATGTTTTCATACATCCAAGATTAAAACCTTTTGACTATTACAAGGACTTTTTAAAACAGCTGAAGTAAGACATGTTTATCTTCTTCATCTTGAGATTGCCTCATCATTTCTATAAGTGAAATCTGTGGCAACTGATTATTTGAACAGACTTTCCAGATTCTTTGTGGGCATCGCACATCAGACTCACTGGTGCACTTGTCGCACTGATACGGTTTATACTGTGTTATCTTGTGTGCTGGTTTTCTTTAAAAACACACAAAGCCCCCCAAAACAACACCCCCTGTTCCCCAAGTAAAAGCTGCCTAGGCTTGACAGGTTTTTTTCCCAGCATGGTTTATACCTCTCTCCAGTTCAGCAAACTTGGCAACACATAACTGCGAGCACATGGATCCTAATGAAGAAAACTGCTCAAATACTACCAAAGTAAATGACTTTGGGGAAGCAGATGTATGTGCAACTCAGAATTTTTTAAGATCCAAGGGTGTAATTATAAAGAAATTAGAAGGGAAAAGCCCCAGGACTTGCAAAAACTAGGTTATTTCCTGAGGGTTGATTTTTGTCCCGGGTGTTACGGATTGCATACCTTTTAGGAGATTTCTGTGTATGTGAGAATTAAAGAACCCGCTTTTTTTTGCCGCACAACTGCAATGTGTGTGAGACAAAGCGAAGCAGCTTGGGGAGAGCGTGGAGTTGCTCAGAAGACCACACACTGATGTCTTATTAGTACCTTCAATAAACTCAAGTAATTATTATGTTTTTTCCTCCATAGAAGCGCGTACTGGAGATGGGCCCTGAACTCTATAAGTCTTTTCTTATCTCTTGCACTTACTTCATTGTTCTGAATGATATCTTTCTGTAGGTAGAGAGGCTGGTACCTCCTAACTCAGGCTTGTAGGAAACAAAACATATTAGCAACCAAAAAAGTGTGAATTCCTCCATCTGTCATCTTGCAGTTGACTCTTTTTACCATGTAATAAGGGTTATTTAAATAATGTTAACTAGAATTATAGAGAAGCAAACCATCATTCTCAAGATGTTTGTTAAAAGTGTTCTGTACTTATTGTTGCAGGAGCCTTTTGTGACAAAATGATATTTTGTTAGAATTTTTGTTTTCCCCCGTCATAATGTAATGATGGAGGGGGAAGTTCTGGCGTTAGTGTTTACATTTGTCGCAATTTAAAAAACCCCACCATAATAGTTATTTTTCATTTCTTTCATCGTGCTAAGCTGTTCGCTAACTTGCTTTCCCTGCAGTCCATTTTAGGAATTGTAGGGAGTTACATGACTTAAATTGTAAGAAGCAGTAAAGATTGTTCACCTAAATGTTTGACCTAGCTCCCTAACTGTTTATTGTAGATATTTATGGAATACCAGGCAGATGAAATTTTAGAGCGGACGTAATTTCTGTGCAGTAGAAGTGGAAAAGTATGACTTTAAAATTTCAGTGATCAAAGTGCATTCTTCAAAAACCTACGTGGGAATCTGCTTGTTTGCTGTCCTGCTCTTTAAAAGTTGTTACTTCAGAAATGTTTAGCAGAGTGCGGTGGTGATGGGTAGAACAAAATGGGCTACTTGACAAGAGTATTTGTTTTGAGCTGAGTTAAGTTGTTCCAGTACATTTTGCCTGCCAAATTGAACATCCTTTGTGAGATGCTTCAAAAATGGAAGCAAATGCACTGAACCTTGGTTTTATATTATAATGTCAATTTGGGCAATAATAAATTCAGGTTATTTACTCTTGGCATGATATATTCTATTTTGCTTTGACAATACTTTACTCTTGTTTTTCTTCCTCTTAATTGGTGTGCATTTACTTCTTAGAAATAAAAAGCTCTTTAATATTAGTTTCACAAGATACAGGATTTTTGCAGTTTTCCTGTCACTGAAATGGATGTACAGTATGCACAAGAGAGTCCCTCAAAAAGAGACACCAATTATTACTCTTCAAATGTAATTGCTCCTGAGAAATGAAAAGTAGAAATGGAGACTAATTGTGTATCTGATCACCTGAGAATTTAATTTTAAAAATAGGCTACAGGCTATTATTTCCTAATTTTGCAATTCTTTGGAGATGTACAAGCGGTGATTAAAATGACTGTTAGAAAGTGATATTACAGCATTTATTAATAGAAAAATTGGAAAGGATATAGCTCCTGAGCTGCTGAATCTTTTGTCATGAAGATGCTAAACTAGTTTTTAAGGTGACAGGCATTCAGGGTGCTATATATCTCCAGCACATCTTTGATTTAAGCTTCGAGGTAGTGTCTGTCCCCCTCCATTTTTTTGCTTAATTCCAGTATGCTCGTTCGATGAGGAGTGGACCAGTTTAAATGGGAATGTGATACCCGATACTGAAAGAACAAAGCAGAATTTAGAGGAAAAAACCTTGGTTTTGATTTCTCTGATGCACCTGTAGCTACTGTCAAATGGGTTCACATGGTTGATGGAGTGTGCCTGCGTGTTTTTGATTTCATGATGGGGGTTAGTGCAAAAAAAAAAAAACAAACACGCAAAAAAACCTTTGTGCTGAAAGTGATTAGTTGCCTATTGACAAATATAGTGGATGTATTTGAACATATTTCAAATGTCACGTTTATTTTTTTCAAGTAACTTGTGAATGTGAATTGCTACATGCTTTTTAGATAACAGTCACTGTGTGTGCTCATCAAGTTTGCACCGTTATTTCTACTAACCTTTTTATAAAAACAGAAAGCTTAGTTTAAAAGTTGCAGGAGGAGTCGGATATTTATGGTGATCTTCCATCTGAGGGTTTTTATGCTTTTTAAAAATTCTTTTGAAGTAGAAATGAGAAACTTTGGTGAAATTTAAAGTCTCAGCCAATTTAAGTCATCTTTATAGCTGAAAACTTGGTATATCTTATTATTATCCCCCAGATTTATATATCTGAAAGATGGGGGTGGAAAATTGTCTATCTGCCGTATTAATCGCTTTCTTTTTTATTTTTTAACACTGTTTATTGAATCAACTTTTTTTCTCGTTGCTGTATGGTTCTTATAAAAATACATGTGGCAGCAGCACTGAAAGAACATCAGAGGATAAAGAGAGAAACCATACGGGCGTTTTGGGACTTGGTACTGCCAAAAGACCAGTACAAAAATAGCGTAGAAAAAGTGCAAATGGTGTAAGACCTGGTGGGGAGGAGGAGGTCTGGTTAAAACCAGAGATAGAGAATGATTTAACTAAAGAATTGATTAATTAGCTTCTATAAACACTTTGTTGCAAAACCATGAACTTTTGTGTGGTGATACCTCAATGCAACACGTTTTTCTACAGTGCCTATAATTCTCTAAAAGAGTTTTCCCACTGGAATAGTGTTTTACATTTTTGAAAGACGGAGCTATGGTGCTACAAAATACAGTGGCATATTAATGTTTCTTGCTGAGAGATATGGAAAAATTTGAAATCTAATTTCTAGCTCTGGGGAAAATCTCCAAACCATTAGTACTGCAAAAGACACAGAGGTATTAAGTCTCTCAGTATTTCATAATTATCAGATCTGTGTTTTTCAGTAATGATGATTAAGCAATTATAGGTAGCCACCTGTAGATATTTAGAAGCTAGGCTGAATTAAAATGCTAATGCTTTTTGATAGTTGCTCTACTCTTTTGGTTGTATTAGTAAAATTATGGAAACTCTGAGAAGTCTGAAATGTTTTTCTTGATAGTAAAAGTTCATGTTTTTCCAAGAATCCACAGCATGCTTTTTTAACAAGAGATTTCATCTCTTCCATATTCTACTCATGAAATGTTTTTCTTTATACTGCTCATTTTCTCAGTCTGTAAAAGTTTAAAGTTGTTCATGTTCATCCAGTGTAACAAATTACCTAGCTATTAAAAAATATATTTGTGTAGAGATATTAAAGCAAAAAAGGAGGAGAGGAGCTAGCCTGTTCAAATTGCACGCATTCTTTAGACAGTATTAAGGAAGAAGAAAGAGCGATGACAGACCTATAACACTGGGCTGAAAATACACTATATATTGCACTATATAGTGAAAATGTAGGTCATTTTTACTTCAATGTGGAATTCATTTCTTACTGTATTTCAGTATATATAATTGTACAGAATTTCTTGGTACACAACACTCACTGGATTATGACCTGACACTTTTTGGCAGATGCTTTCTGGACTTTGAAAATTAAGTATTACTGGTCGTTTTAAGCATGTTTGAAATAACATGTAGCACAGCAATGCTATTTCATGGAAGATATTTTTGTTTTTGTGTGCACTAGGGTACTGTGGAGCTGACATAAAAGCACTTTGCACTGAGGCTGCCTTGATTGCCCTGAGACGACGCTATCCCCAGATTTATGTGAGCAGTCAGAAACTACAGCTTGATGTTTCTTCGGTAGTTCTCAGCGCGCAGGATTTTTATCATGCAATGCAGAATATCGTGCCTGCTTCTCAACGTGCTGTGACATCTTCAGGACATGCGTTATCTCCTGTGATCAGACCACTGTTGGAACGTACCTTCACTAACCTTCTTGAGGTTTTACACAAAGTGTTTCCTCATGCTGAATTTAGCCAGGGTGACAAAAGTGAAGGTATGTGGGTTAGAGGTTTGTTTTGTTTTTTTTTTGCAAATGCTGTTTCAATTTGGAAAGATTTCAAGTGCTAGCCTTAAAACTGATGTGTATTTGGTTCAGTGTTACGTTAGAACGTAAAGACAGTTTGCCATTTTAAATACAAGAAACAATGGGGCATAATCACGGAATTTTTTTGGATGTTGCTTAATTATTTTTGCTGATTCCAAGTTGGTGTGGAATTTCATAAACTGACCTATGTAGGCCAAGATCCCATAGGTGTGAGTGCCATCTGAAAAAAAAAGACCCACAAGTAATTTACATTTTAAATACAAGGAACAATGGGGCATAATCACGGAATTTTTAAAGTTGGATGGGACCTCTAGAGATCATCTAGTCCAACTCCCCTGATAAAGCAGGATTGCCCAGAGCACATTACTCAGGACTGCATCCAGGCGGGTCTTGAAAATCTCCAGAGAAGAGGACTCTACCCCCTCCCTGGGCAGCCTGTGCCAGTGCTCTGTCACCCGAACCGTAAAGAAGTTTTTCCGTGTGTTGGAACGGAACTTCCTATGTTCCAACTTGTGCCTGCCCTGCGCTGGACTCTCTCCAGCAGTTCCCTGTCTCTCTTGAACTGGGGAGCCCAAAACTGGACACAGTATTCCAGTTGTGGCCTCACCAGTGCCGAGTAGAGGGGGGAGAATCACCTCCCTCGACCTACTGGTCACACTCTTCCCTATGCAGCCCAGGATTCCATTGGCCTTTTTGGCGACAAGGGCACATTGCTGGAACATGGATAACTTACTGTCTACCAGGACCCCCAGGTCCTTCTCCTCAGAACTACTTCCCAGCAGATCCACCCCTAGCCCATACTGGTGCCCAGCATTCTTCCTCCCAAGGTGCAGGACCCTGTACTTGCTTATGTTGAACGTCGTTAGGTTCTTCTCTGCCCAGCTCTCCAGCCTGTCCAGGTCACTGGATGGCAGCGCGGCCCTCTGGAGAGTCAGCCACCCCTCCCAGTTTGGTATCATCAGCGAACTTGCTGAGGATACACTCTGTCCCCCTCATCCAGGTCATTGATGAATATATTGAGCAAGACTGGACCAAGTATTGACCCCTCGGGGACACCAGTGGTTACAGGCCTCCAGCTTGACACTGGTCCATTAATCACAACCCTATAATCATACAGTGGAACAAAAGAAAAGAGTGAACACTGTTACTCAGTGTGTTAGGGCCTGACATTGGTGCTCCCGTCCTGAGTGTCATTTACCTGTCCCCAATCCTTTGCTTGTTGATGGTGCAGAAGCAGGCAGGGAAGGAGTGCTATGGGGAGGTCGCAGCTCAGCGGGTGAGACTGTTTAGCTGATGGTCTCTACTGGTTAACGAGAAAGTCCCAAGGCTTCCCTCCCCTTGAACTGGCCTGATGCGCTCCCGGTCCTCTGAGTTGATTCTGCTGGCTTAGCAAGTGCAGAACTATTTGCTGATTTGTCACGTTAGCTTTTCGCCAAATTAGTGAGTAAAACCAACTCGCTAAGGGGTCAGATGTATGCCAGAACCCTGCTGCAATGGGAGCGATGCGAGTGCGTTGAGGAAGCAGGGAATAAGAAGGAATGTGACTGACTGTTTTGACTGGCAGTGAGTCAATAGGTTCTGGGTTGATTTTTACCCAGCTGTTCTCTGAGACATACCGTAACAGTTACCCTGGTTATTTCTTGGAAGTTAAATATCAAACAAGGTATCTTGATATCTTTGATACCTACTTATTCTGGCATACTATTTTCTACTGTTCTTATCTGGGATATCCCTCCTCCCCCCCAAGCTGTGTAAACCATACTTGTGGTTGTGTGTGAATAACTTGAAAATAGCCCAGTCGTAAAGCAAATCTGTGACAGCCATCACTTTCTTTTCATGCCTATTCCAGAGCACACTTTCAGCCTGCAGCCCGGGCAGCTGAAGCTGATCCCTGCTCTGGCTGCGGCAGTTCCCCCAGCCCAGCTGTGCATTTTTGCTCCATCCCTTGTGCTTACTTTAGTACGTCAGGCCCTTTGTTAAAACATTTTAGCCAGAAAACTCATCCAAAAATGATGTATTTTTGTCAGGTTAGTTTTCTGCTGACTGTGGGATAGCTGGAAGTTTTAACAAGTGTCAGAGTTGGCACGAGATGGGACCTGGGAGCGTGTGGTGGTGGTAGGGGGAGGTGAGCTGGCTTGCAGCTGCAGTTAGATCAGATTAGGCTCCCTCGATTGTATTAGGCTCTCGTAGCCAAAGTTGTTTAAAATGCTTAAGTCTCTCTGTATGTTATTAGCTTGTTGGTAATGCTCAATTTGAAGATCTTCAGTATTGTTGATGAATTGAATTAGATGTCTCTGTTGCATAGATCTAGTTCGGAATATTTTCTTTGGTTACATTCTTTACATTCCTATTTATTACTGGTCATTATTGCTAACAAAATGAGTTGGAAGCATTGATTGAGTTAAGTAGTAGTTTTACTAGATAATTCTGCTGCTATGGCTACTGTTGAACGTTTGTAGATAATCACTTTTGAAGGTAGAAGAACTGAGGTTTCTTTTGAATTTTCCTCTGTACCTTAGTTTTTCTTCTTACCCCCTTAAACCTAAGAAAATACTGAAAAATAAGCTTAATCTTTGTTAAAAACAGCAAAATCCACTTTCATGTACAGTGATTTGAAGTGTAAATGTAGATTACACACTATTGCTTTGGTTTTTCTTGAATTCAGAGCCAGGTATATGGCAGATGCTTAATGGTGTGCTTACAGTCTGCAAATCTAGTTTTCTACCTGTCTTTGCAGTCTACTAATGATTTCTGTTTCTTGTAATTCTGTGAATCAGACACTCAAGCAAAGGATGTCACAGAGGCTTGATGCTTGAGATTAAACGATGGGTTGCCTTTTTTAATAATTATATATTTTAGGAAGCAAAAACTGTGTCCAGTGCATGAGCATAGGACTTACCATGTAGTCTGCATTTGGTATAGCCAAAATTCTACCTGTTTAGGGACTGCAGTGAGCCAAGAGGAGTTAGGAGGCCTGTCTGTGTCCAGCTGATTTGAGGGCCTCTGTCCTTGCCCAGAGCTAAATGTTCCGCAGCTTCTGCCTTGCTCTTTCTTTCTGTGGTCTAGCTTTTGGCCACTGGTTGGGGTCTGCAAGTCTTTTTCATCTTTGCCCTCTGAGGAATGATTGTCAGCTGTATGATTGCATCATGCCTTGCCAAGGGATGTGACATGTCCTCATCCCATACCAGCAGAATATCATTCCAGCCTACTCTGAATCCAGTTTCTTACATCACACAGCCAATTAACTAAGGGAACCTTTGTTGTCTCTTAACAATTTTTCCTGGGAGCCGATCTCTAGTGGCCTTGAAATGGCATCTCTGTCCAACACTTCATGCTGGCTTGAAGTTGATGCCTTTGTCCCGTGGTGGTGGTTTGATCAGTGTAGCAGGACCTGTGCCATAGCTTCATGTAAATCAGGCAAATCACGCAGTGGGTCGTATATTTGCGAATAACCCTTAGATCTTTCTGTATTTTACACTTTCATTTCACAGCAGTCCATTTTTCTAAGTGGCTGTGGTACTGTTAGGATGTCTGGTGGTTGCCCTGAACAGCAGTGTGCTGCTCTGGGCTGCTCTCAGAAATGCTGCCCATCTATCGCAAAGCATTTTGTTCCTCAGGAGATCTGCCCTCTGCACTGCTCTCACTGTACAGCTGAGTAGCTGTGACCATTTTCATCCTGTCGTTGTGGACTGATTTCTCTTTGGGAATGAGAATGAGTGGCTTGCTTAGGCTAATATCAACTAAACTCCTTTCCTGGGGCAAATAAAGAGCTTGTAGCAGTTTATTTCCCATTGTCAAATCACAGCGGTCTACTCTTAGTCCCGTTGCAGCTCCGATAGCTAGTTTAGCTGTACCTGATTTTCAACTGTCAACTGGTTGTTTTGGTTTAATGCCGTATTTGTATTTTTTGCAGTTGTTTGTCCCTGCAGTCTTTCAAATGCTGTCAGTCTTTTAGCTTTTTGTTTCTGAAGGTCTATGCAGAAAGCACTTCAGTTCATTATGGTACTATATTAGCAAAGGAATTAAAATAGATTAACGTATAGTATATGAACGTTGAATGAATTGAACTGATTTTGATTAAAAAGTAATTTGGTGTTCTTTGGTGGGTTATCAGAGGGTGGAAAACAATTCTTCATAAATATACATTGTCTAGGTAGTCATGCTGAGAATAATTTTGGAAGAAGTGTACCTGTAAAAATTTGGGCACTTAGAACAAATAAATAAGTACAAAATTCTTTATAGTCTGAGGAATTAGAGATTTTATAACTTTATCCTTGAAAAACCTCTAGCTGTGAAATAAAACCAAAGGAAGCATTTCCTAACAAGTTAAACATTTGTTGTATTTGCGAACTTGTTCTGCTTGATGGTTTTAAAAATAAACTGAAGTGATGATTAGACTTCTACAATATTTAATTTGTTTTGGTTTTTGAAGTAATAAGTACTTATTATTCTGTATTCTGATATTTAGACAGTTTTAACTCATTTTTTCTACATTTGAAAATGTGTTATAATTTACATGAAGATTGTAATGTCTTTTCTTGTTTGTTGTGTGTGTACTTAGAAGTGATAAGGTTCTAATTAATATATTTCTTGGAACAGATGTACCAAGTCTAATATTAGATGATAGTGAAGATGAGAATGCTTCATCAATTTTTGAGACGAGCTGTCACTCAGGATCACCAAAGAAACAGTCATCAGCTGCTATACATAAACCCTACCTTCATTTTACAACGTGAGTGTTTCTCTAAATGCATATCACCAGATAAATAAAACAATGAAATTCTTGTATCAGGAGAGGTAACAAAGATGATCTTTTGTGTTGTGGTAGGTATGGTGTTCTGTAATAGCAATGTGTAAGTGTATGGACAAGAGTTTTAGATATGTGAATGGTCTTAGGAAAGGCCACATCCTAGACACAGTAATCAGAAATATTTTGCAACAGTCAAATGTAGCTTAGAAGTAAGGATGTTAATGCCAGTTCTTAATTGTAACAAGCCATTTTGATTTGAAAGATTAAGAACTGGGAAGAGGGAGGTGTGTAGGAATATCCAAAGGAGAGATAGTTTGCTTTTCCTTGGTCTAAAATACTGTTGAGTTTCAGTGTAGGCAAATGTTTGGGTGCATTATATAATTAATTCATTCAGCATTCCTAACATCTTCCTGACATCGTATTTTCATTTTTTTTCATAGAATGTTTCGGGGAATGGGAATTTAGCGTGTGTGAAATTTGGATGAGTCTTTCCTGTATAAATTGGACTAGCTACAGTAATTAACAATAATAAACTAACATTTCTTTGTTTTGTATTAAGAATAGTTTTAGACTACTTTGTGTGGTGGGTTCTGCAGGGAGTTTGCTAAATAAAGAAAACAAGATTAGGAGAACCGTTCAGTGGTAGTACTGTTTAGTAGAGCCATCTTGTGGAAAACTTCTAAAATTTTTGTGCTAAAGAGTGATACCTGAACAGCATTTACGGAAATCTAGGCTTAAAAAAAAGGATTTAAGTTCAAATAGTTTGAGGTACATAGTTGAATATTTTTATGCCAAATTTTAGCTTTTGTTGTGGGGGCAGGAGAACAAACCCAAACCCAAAACAATGATACGTATTTGTGTGGATGTGTGTCTATATATAATAATCTCAAAGAGTATGTTTATTTTCATAAGTTATGTAAGCCTCCCTTAGTCTATCTTTCTGAGCATTTTTGGTTGCTATCTGTGTGTGTAACCTCCGCCACCAGAACTGAAAAGCCAAAGATCAGCAATATTCATAGCTGTTACAAAATATTTAACCTGAAATAAACCCAGCCAGTCTTGTTTCGCTGTCGGAGCTGATTGATGTGCAGATAAAAATGCCTTAATGAGAGAAAATGAAAATTAATTTTAAAAAAATTTTGTTTCATAATAAATTTTCTATAAATGGAAAAGACTTTGAATGGAAAAACCTAATGCTTCTTTCTTCATGTCTCCCTCGTCCCCAAAACAGGGCAAAGTCCCCTAAAACAAACCGACACAAAAAACCCAAAATCCTTGTATGGACTCCTTAGTATTTCTTCTCAACAGCAAAAACAAAAAATAAGTTTACCTTTGCAATTTTTCCTTTAAAATCTTTCTTCTTTCTGGAAATCTTGTGAACAGAAGCGTATGAATATTCTGGAATAGAAGAGGAATAGTGTTTTTATTCAGTCCTACTTCAGGTCCCATTTCTTACATAAACAATGTATTGAAATGTTAGGTGGTTCTTGGAAATCTTAGGTAGCACTTTAAGGGATGAATGGATTGACCTGGGATTCCTGAGGCTACTGAAGAGATGTTTTCATTGTTAGGACTGAACTAGGCTGGATTAAATAGATATGGTCACTGGAAGTCCCTTAAGTCTTTTTATGTGATTGAGGAATTTGTTTTAAATAAACTGATTATAATCAAAGTTTTCATGAATTTAATATGTGAATATGTATATTCACAGGTGAATTTGAATTAAATTGTTTTGAAATCAAAGAACAGACAGAGCTTGAGTTACTGCGACTTGATGTAGCGCTGAGGTATCCTGGAGTTACACTAACTAATCTTTTAAGGCTATTGTAGTAAACTATTACCTATTACTGAAGGCCTTTTGGATTCTAAAAAAAATCTTATTTGATATCTCCATCCATTGATAACATCAGCATGTTAATTGTCATTTGTAACTGTTGTTTTGCTGCAGGTCAGCTTACCACCAGCCAACCTCTTACAGACCAAGGTTACTGCTATCTGGAGAGAGAGGTTCGGGTCAGACTTCGCACCTTGCTCCAGCACTATTGCACACTCTTGAAAAATTCTCTGTACACAGGCTAGATTTGCCAGCACTTTATTCAGTCAGTGCCAAAACGCCTGAAGAATCGTGTGCACAGGTGACGTTTCAGATTCTCTTGTAATGAGTAAATTATGTCATTCTGCATCAATATAAAGGCAGCTAACTGGAATGTAACTTAAAAGCCAAGTTTTCATAGGCTCCTTCTATTTTCGTGTTTAAAAGAAAGGAGTCTCTGGAGGGTGACTGAAATCTCTCTGCTGACTAGTGAGAGTAATTACGTTTTTAACTTGCCCCCTCAGTCACATACCTAATGTCAAGTAAGCTTAATGTAGTTCCTGATTTTCATTTTACTAGCTTGTGTATGAATTGGTGTGCTGTGGTTCTGGGTTCGGTTACTTAGTTTTAAGTGTTTTATGCTTCAAAACAGTTTGTGGTGGATTTTGCATGGATTGCAAAGCAGCTTAATTTTCGTCTTGATTGTTCGGTCTTAGCAAGGTTTTAAAACATATATGACAAGTAGTTGTTTGTAGTCTCCCTAGCACATTAACTTAAAATAATGGAATGATGCAGCTAACAGTCACAAACACTTGTTTAGAAAGCCTTTGTCATTAGATAATTTTATTTTACTGGAACGTTTGTATATAAAATACCACAAACTTGAGTCATTTTCTATTCCACAAGAATTTTTATTACTCACAAGTGATAATAATCAGTTTCTTACTTTAAATACCACTGTTTCTTTTAATTAGATCTTTCGCGAAGCTCGAAGAACAGTACCAAGTATTGTTTACATGCCTCATATTGGTGATTGGTGGGAAGCTGTCAGTGAAACTGTGAGAGCTACTTTTCTAACTTTGCTGCAAGATATACCATCTTTCTCCCCTATATTTCTACTGTCTACCTCTGAGTCCATGTATAGCGAATTGCCTGAAGAGGTAAGTTTGCTGTGGAAGGAGGTGGTGTTGTGGGGGGCGTGTGCTCTTCAGAACGCTTTGATTGTGTAAAAACATTCTGTTTTGCACTGGTTTTCTAACTTAATTTAAAATATGTCAAACTGAAAATGTAATATTAATTAAACGATTGTAATTTTCTTTAATAAGGGGTGTACGTCCATATTACTGATTTTCATAATCTCTGTGTTACTTTGCTGAGAAGACAAAATTGTTCATTTTGTCAGTTGTTCATTTTGACAAATTACTCCAGTGTAATTAAATGCAGATTTAGTCTAAAGACGTAACCGTTAGCTTTATGTCCTCTGAGCTTCAGGACTTCAGGATGGGGGAGGGGAATTCCGTTTTGTTTTTTTTCCCCTCTGTTTTTCCCCCCCTGTTTTTTTTTTTTTAATCTTGCCCTCTCTCTTCTCTTCACTGCAGAGGTAGCCACTGTTAGGATCATGGGATACTGCCGAGTTTAGTTACTACAGAAAGTTCAGTGAGAATTACAAGTATTTGTTTTCCCTAGGCTGTGGATGCAGCTTTGGGTAGACTTTACTGTCTTCTCTCCTGTGGCTAATTTTGAAAAGTTTGTGACTATTGTCTTAATGTGGTCATTAATCATGTATTTTTGAGTGGGGGCTCAATTTTCATATGGCTTTTTTTTTTCTTTTCAGGTGAAATGTATTTTCAGAATCCAGTATGAAGAGGTTTTTTATATTCAAAGACCAAGTGAAGAAGACAGATTGCGATTTTTCAAAGGGTTAATTCTTGATGAGGCAGCGATGCCCCCACCAAGAAGGAAACAGGCTGGTAAACTAAGTTACAGTAAAACCAATAATAATGTGATCTGAATGTTTTCTTTCATGGTATTTTCCTTTTTCAAAAGGTGTGGGTGAATGACAGTTAGTGTAATTAACATTTGACAGTGTTAATCAATGCCTAGACTAAATTTTGTGCATTACAGTTACCAGTTTTGGAAATTGGAGAGCTGTGGGCTTAAGGATGCAGTGATAGTTAGATCGATGAGGGAAATCAAATATATAATGAAATTTGGAGTGGCATAATCCCAAGAGCGACTGTGTTGTTAATATTTCCATTGTCTGACTTCTTGCTTTTTTCCCTAGCTCTTCGTGCTCTGGAAGTTCTTCCTCTTGCACTGCCATGTCCAGCCCGTGAGCTGTCAGAAGCAGAAAAACAGCGAATGGAGGACCAGGAAGAGAACACGTTGAGAGAGCTGCGGTTGTTTCTCAGGGATGTTACCAAGAGGCTGGCCACAGACAAACGCTTTAACATCTTCAGCAAACCGGTGGATATTGAAGAGGTCTTGTTTCAGTAATGTGCAAACAATGAAGTTGAAACTATTAGAATATAAATTAAAAAAAGGAAATGGCTACGTTAATGAGAAAAATAGATGTTTGATCCGTGATCTTTCCCCTCTGAAATGCCGACTTTTAGCTGATGAGGTAGTCGCAGCCTCATCAGCTGTGGTGCAAGGAGTTGGAGCGCATTCTTTGGCTATACGAGTGACCTATTGAAAAACCTTGTGCGTTCCTGTCAATTTTATAACTGAAATCAGCATTTAAAAATGCCATCACTCCTATCCTTACCAGTGCTCTTGAAATATTTGAAACCATAAATATAATTCTTTAATAAAAGCTTTTACAACACTGTAATCATAGACATGATAATATTGGGAAGGTGATCTGTGTTCTGTAATGTATTCAGCATTAATAGTATTGTGGAATAATTTCAGCAGTAATGCTCGTGGATGCCATTAATCACAGATGGTAGCACATTATAAGGCATTAACTGGTCGATTATGGAGCGTGCACACCTAACTGATGAGACAGTTCAATCTGCAAATCTATTTTCGGGTGCTGCTATATGAAAAGGATTGTGTTTGGTCTGACTTTGAGATCAGATGCTGGCCCACTGCAAGCTTTGCAAGCTTGCTAATTAAAAAAGAAATGCTTAATTTCTTCTTAAGAGAAGCATCTCATTTGGAAGACACTAAGAGATGAATATGGGGCATTAAAAGTACAGCATTGTAAAAAGGAGATTTGCAGTGTAAATTCCAGGCAGGATGGAACAGACATCTTTTATGGGCCCATGTAGTCCTCTCTTAATTTGAGCTTTCTGCAGTGTTTTGTAGCTGACTGTTTTTGAAAGACTGACAAGAGCTCTTTAATACGGCAGCTTACAATGTGAGCATGGTCTGAGCAGTAACTTTGATTTTTATTATGAAACTGCTTGGGAGGTCCATTGTTGTAGGAAACGCTTCATACTCATAGTAAAGACAGTTTCTTTCCCCAAAGAACTTGCGGTCTAAAGGGCAAGTAAAGTAGGAACAAATTACCATCCTTGTTTTGCAGATGGAAAGAATTGAAATGTGAATTTGTTACTTAAAGACTTGCCAAAACCCCCTGCTAATATATCGCATCACTAGAAATAAATGTAATCCTTTTTGTCCCACCTGGTGCATTTAAGCACAGGACTGTCTGTTTCCATGAGAGCCCGTCTGCTTGACTTCATTAGAAAATGTGTTAAGTTTGCTCCACTCCTACCTGTGTTGCGGAGGATGCTGCTATGTGATAAGTTAAGGATTTTCCTGACTAATTCTGCAGCAATGTTTACAGTTTCCAGTGAAGATTCTTTCTGATGATGTGCTAACAGGAAAAGGGAGCCCATGGCTTGGCTTTCCGATCACTGAAGCAATTATCATCATGTTTCCACAGAGGGAGACAAAAAGAGACTTTCTGCCATTTTAATTTTTCATCATAAATTTCAATGCGTATATTTAAGGAATTAGGTGATAGCCTGCTGTCCACTGAAGTATTGCATTAATGTTAGTTTATGTTCTAATATATTTTTGTATAAATGTCTACAGGTTAAAAAAAAAATTCTTATGGAGCCGTTATGGCTTGATCTGAATATGTGTTTAACTCTTCACTATTTTGGCAGGGACTGTCATACGTGGGTGATTTCAAAAGGAAGAAACACAATACTGTTTCTGAGGCTGCCAGTATTTTTAATTGATTATAATCTTAATCACATTGAAACATTCAAGTATAGGGTTTTTTTCCTTGAAGTAAATAACAAATTCATAGATTTTTTTTTTTTTTTTGCTGAACTTTGTTAGAGCAGCTGTGCTCATGGATTTGACTATCAAGCTTGAGCCCCTTATGGTACCATTAATTACATTAAATACTTTTAGTGTACCCTAGTGGATGCTAAATCTCCAGTTACGAGTTAGGCTCATCGTGAACTCTTACACTAGGCTTTCTATTTAGACTGTCCTCCTGTACAGTCAATCTAATGTCTTCAGTTGATAAAGCCTGATTTTTGTTTTGTTGAATGAGTGATTTAAAGAACTATTCAATAGAAGATATTTTAAAGCTGATAATTTGACTGTTCAGTTTAATGGGAACTATACCTTTAAGGTGAACAAAATATAGCTCCCCTAGTTTTTCCTAGCATTTTGAGTTAGTCTGATTGTTTTTTGCTTTTCTAACCCAAGACAGTGCTATAACACTATACAAAAAAACCCCAACACAACAACAGTCTAAATAAAATTACATTTACATAAAAGTACATTTACGTTAAAATGTTTTGCCTCAAAAATACCATTAAATTAATTTTGAAAGATAAATTGGTGATCTAATGAAGAAAGAGTAGCTTTGGAAGTCCTATTTAGTCTGATATAACTTCTGTTTTCAAGATAAATCTGTTGTTAGTTAATGTTTAGTTAATGAATTAGAGCTAAGCATGCGGTATAAGTAAGAGTGTAAAGATGTAACATTGGCAATGTTCAAATGTAATGCATGTGGTCCTGTGTCATTTCTGTATGCTGTTTGTTTATAGGTTTCAGATTACCTTGAAGTTATCAAAGAGCCAATGGACCTGTCAACAGTAATAACCAAAATTGATAAACACAACTACTTAACAGCCAAGGATTTCCTAACAGATATTGACCTGATCTGCAGCAATGCGTTGGAGTACAATCCAGACAAAGATCCTGGAGGTAAGAGCCTACTTCATTTTGGCCTACCTAAACCCAAAACCCTGGTATTTCATCACATATTTGGTTACTATTCAGGCATTTAAATAAACCGCATGCTGTGTGATAATTAGGATAAGCAAGTCCTAAGTGTCTGTGGTTTTAGTGTTCCGAGGCATGTCGTGCACTGGGGGATGTTGTAAGAGCAGGAGAGCTACAGCATTCAGAGTTGTTTTCTAATAAATTAGGTTTTGTAGTTCTTTTTGAATTTGATAGCTCCTTTTCAGTGAATAGAATTTGTATATGCAGCAAAACCCCAATGTAATTTGGAGAGCTCTGTAGAGAATCCTGCATGCAATCTGGCAGTGGCCTGCTTTATTTCCACATTGGCTTAGAACATTAAATTCACCCACAGAAATTAAGAACTATGTATTTGGGGATAGAAATAGAACAGGATAAATCATCAGGCAAGGAAGTCAGTTGCAGCTGATTAGGAGAGATTAGAAGGTATTGTCTTGACAAAGTGGGATGGGATGCTTTCAATTAAAATGGAATTTGTAGGTTGAAATGCACGTAAAAGCTGTTCACGCTCATAACTAAGGAAAGAACATCTTGTGCACTCTTTGCAAGGGCTGCCTTACAGTGTACATTGCCAAAAGAAAGCCTTTCCATTGGCAGCTTCATCAATAAACCAACAACAAAGCACCCTTTTAATGTAGTTGTATTTAATATAAGTGATACTTGGAAATCTGGGTCCATCTGCAAGTGTAATCCTAAGTGTTAAAAAGTTTTTCATTAAATCTTGTGAAATCATTTTACCGGGTTAAAACCTGATTTTCTTTATTTTTCTTGCTTCTCAAATTTTTGATGTTGTGAGACCTTTGCAAAGGTCTTGTGTGGACTAGAGACAATATAGTCTGGTCAAACAGTTAGACTTGTTTCACATTGCCTTTGGAACCCGGTGCTGGTTCGTATCTGTAGAAGATAAGCTTTATTTTTTCAATTTATGATGCATTTTGTTTTACAACTAAAAAAAAAACCAAACATTGATAATATACAGCAAAAGATTTTCTGTGTTCTTGATAACACTCTTGAGGACTTCTAATGTGTAATTGATGTGAACTAGTCAAAGCCTTGATGGACACTTGGGATTCTGAGTGTCTCTGAAGAGTGCCGGTTTAGAAGATGAGGACTATGAGACATACCTTCTACATGTGACTGGCGTGTGTTTGTGATTTAGTGATGGGCTTTCGGAAAAATGACAATAATATATACTCTTTGTTCTCATTTTTAGGCCATTTTGATCTTTGGGCTTGCTTGTTTAATTCTAGGAAATGTAGTCTGAAGAGGTTTTTTGAAGTTTTAGAGCAGGTGTTATGGGACTTGTAAGGTCGGATCTGCTCGGGATCATAAACAACACGGGTTGCAGGTTCAGTGTGGCAGAAACATAAAATAGCAAAGATAGCTTGGGGAACATTTAGTGGCAGACATTTTCATTGAGCTTGTCTACAGAGAGAGAGTCTTAAGAAATATATTTAAGGGAACCAAAATAGGGATATCTTGGTTTTCCTTGCCATCAGGACTGAGCTGGGAAAAATGGATCTGGCTATTTCTAGGTTAAGTTTTAGATTTGAGTTTCTCATCATTGAGTAGGTAATGAAAGATAGTTCTGTCCTCTGCACTGTCAACAACTGGTGATGTATTGCTCTTCTGCCATGCAAGATTTCTTGAGCTGTTGTATGAATACACTGCTGAAACAGCACGTTATGTATATGTGGAGTAAGCAGTACATGCGTTCAGATGCATTAACTAAATATTAACCTATAAATGTTCACATTCTTTAAAGCTGGGCGTATATGCTTGCCTCTGCTTCGTGCTTGAATTTGCAGAAGAATCATAGTATACCTGCTTCTGTCCTGTTGTTCAGTTGGAAAAAGCAGTTGGAGTGCCAGACTAGCTGGCTTTATATGCAGTGTAGTTATTCAAAATTTGCTTCTTTGGGTTATTTTTCCTTGTCCTTTGGTATAAAATTTCAGATAGGTTATATAGTAACATAGTGTGTTTGGTTTTTTTTCTTGCCCTCCATTGTTTGACCAGGAAATGTTCTTAAAGGCATGGAAACATAAGCATTGTCTGTTAGATATAATACTATTTGCTTCTTTGAAGCACTGACTGTGACAAAGTCTTGCCTGTCACAGGATATGAAGAAAGTAGTAATTCAATCAAATACTCTTGATTTGATTTTTCTTTGGTTTTTTTTTTTTTCTTCTTTTTTTTTTTAACCTTTTTCTTTCTTTTGTGAGGGCATCTTAAACTTTATTATCTGACCAACTTTTTGAAGTCTGATATCGCAAAATTACATCTGCAAAGAATGCAGTATATTTTTTGTGATCATAAAACATAATGTTTCACAAATATATGTGGATAAAAACTTCTAGTTTCCAGTCAATTAAGTGGCAATAGATTTCCCCAGAAAACATATGTAGGGCTCATTTGAGCTGGAACACTGGATGTTCTTTTTCACTCAGCAGTTTTTCCAGCTGTAAAATTTGCTGTTTCTAGAATTACAAACCTTGTTTAATAAATGTTCACTGATATTCTTAATTGTTGTCTTTAGTGATTATTAAAACAGATTAAATCTGCTAATTGTATAATATGTTGTAGAGATTAATGTTGATGTTTCCTGTTGAAGTACCTCCATCAACTGGAAAAAATAATTCAGTATGGATGAATTGACAAATTAAATATGTTTGTACTAAAAGCAAACAATGAGTGTTGTAGGTTTAATTGAAAAGCAACAGTCTAGATGTCAGTTTTCTCCAGATACGGGCTTCCTTATTAAGTTACAATTACTTTTCAAATTTCAACAGCGTTGGAATAATTTCTTTTGTGTGCTTCAAAGGTATGGGAACCGGTCTTCTCCGAATAAATGTGTTTTCATGAGTGGCATTTAGGCTTCCAGTGTGGGCAATATTTTTTTTGTCCTGTTCCCCAAGTAGAGATGAAAGTGGAGCAAACTTGAGGCTTGTTTCTTTCCAGTTTTTCTGAATGGATTAAAATGAGAAGGAGTTATTTAATTTAAGCAATAAAATAACCTGTTTTAGCACAATTTTGAAATTTTTTAACAGTTGTTAAATGAAAATGAAGCAATAATTTAAGGTTAAAAAAGAAAAAACAGGGGAGGAATACAAGCAAGCCAGGTCTACCTTACAGATTCAGGAGATGTCCAGTGTGATTTTTTGCACAGTATAATTGTATGAATGTTCCTAGACCCCGGTGGGTAAATTAATTCCTGGACAAGTTTCTTGTTACTTTTGGGACTCTCTGCACTGTACTCCTTTATACTGTGTAGATCTGCCTGTAGAAACTGGCATACCTGCTGATTCTGGCAAATTTCTAAGGATTGCAAGTTGATTTAGGTGTGTTCATCATTCACTGATTGAATTTGTTTATAAATGCCATGTTGATTAAAGTAACAATTTATACTTCTGAAAACTCTGGTATTTCTTAAATAGCTGCGTTATGATTGTTAAGCATGTTGTGGTGTTGATCCATCTACATTTTCATACATTCATAGCGTTGCCCAGTTACTTCTGTCTGTATCAGTGTTGTCATATACAATACAGAACAGCATAGAAATGGTAAAGAATTTGTGTAATTGTGATAAAATTAACAAGTGTGCTGTCCTGTTTTCTAGATAAAATAATTAGACATAGAGCTTGTACTTTGAAGGACACTGCTCACGCTATCATTGCTGCTGAACTGGATCCAGAATTTAATAAGATGTGTGAAGAAATCAAGGAAGCGAGAAGAAAAAGAGGTATATTTAACTTCATTTATTATAATGCAACATATGTGGGATAGAAAACAATTTACAAATGTCCGTATCAAAACTAAAATTTAATGGAACGTGGAATGCACGTTAGACTCAGGCAGTGCATGCTAAAGGGTAACTGAGCTTGAAACTTATCTACTTTTTCCAACTGTGTGAACTGGTCTGATAAGGCACCATCCTTCTTTACAAAAGAAGGACGCATTGCCTATTGGTGCAAAAAGTCTTGTAGAACATGGTGAACGGGTGAATGTTGGGATTGCTGTACTAACTGAAGATGTTTCGAAACCAGGGCTGTATTCTAAAAATGGCATGTAGTGCAGTGTAATAACAATTATAGTTAGGGAAAACAGCATTTAAAACAGTGGATTTTCAGTTCACCCTGGCATGTGCACAAGTGTACTTTTGGTGATAATCAGTTGATTTTTTTGGATTAAGAAACAACTGTTACATCCACATTGAGGGGAGCATAAGGTTGACAATGTAATCGTCCAGAATCAGGAAATGTGGCCCCCTGTGCTGGAGGACATCACTGACTTAATTTTTGTTTAAATTAGTGCAGTTGTTTTCAACTTGGAGTCCACAGACCTCCAAGTCTGTGCATAGCTTCTAAAGCGACCACATAAGGTAATCAAAAGCCCAAACTATTCCCGATAGGACTCTGTTTACACGAAAGATTCTGTACCTCCATGGAAAATTTTTAAAGTTCTGATAATTGAAAAAGGTTGAAAAACACTGGACTAGAACATTAGAACAAAATTTCATGCTGATTTAGGGATTACTGATTTCAATAATTTCAGCTTTGCCTTGGCAAGTTGTTTCCTGCTTTGCCTCATGCTTTGGTAAAAAATTGCATTATTTGATTCCTAGGTTGAATTTGGCTGGTCTTAACTTATAGCTGCTGGTTCTTGAAATAGTTCTATCAGTAGATTGAATACCCTTTATTAATAAATTTCTTTGAACTCTGCAAGTATCTGTACGCTTTCTCTTCTTCAGGTTTAAACGGATACAGTTCCTTTCATTTGCCCATTCAGTCATGCATTTTTTTTGTCTAATTCTGTACAAGCTTCCAGTGTGTGTCTTGAATTGTGGATAAGAGAACCAATTGTAATTCACTGTGGTTGTAAAATCAAACTAATATAATGCCTTCATTTCTCCTCTGTACTTTTCTATTAGAAGTATAAGAATATGCACAATTCTGTCCTTAGTGTCGCGCTGAGAGCTATGCTCAGTTAATTATCCATTATGAGTCCCCCATGATTGTTAAAGGTTATTGCTTCCGAGGTTAAAGTAACTGTAAGAGGTTTTTGTTACAGACAGTGACTATATAGCTTGTAAGTCCCTCCTCGCAAGTCTCGCAAGAGCTAACTGGAACGCTGCCCTTCTCTTTATGGCAGTGACCAAGTAATATGTATTTCTGGGGGCAAAACCTGAAGACCCTGTTGAAAGAGGTGTGTTTCCAGGAGTCATAATTAAGGCGGCTGGCGTCATACAATGAACTTGTTAAATCAGAAAAAGGAGATACTATTGGTGTCAGATGCTGGTTAGTGGACCTTCAGATATAGGTGGGTAACTAGCAGTACCAGTTGTTTGTGAGTGGCAACAACTCATGCACAACAACGGACAGGTTTCAAAATGCATTCTATGCATTGGCACAGAAACTTAGTGTCACAGATCACATTTCAAAGATGCCTTTGGACCACATTGTGGTGGTGAGCTCTGCAGTTGGCCCAGCTGGCCAGCTTACTGGATTAGCAAGGACAGAAGATTTGGAATGTGTGGAAGAAGCTGTGTAAGATTAACTGGTTATGAACAAAGAAAAATGTCTCAGGGTCTTGAGGTCTGAGGAAACTTCATGCTGTAAGGCAAGCACAAGAGATTGTCCTATCCCTGGATGAGGAGTTGTATCAAAGATTGTGATGTCGAACATCAAGAAGATGGCATTTCAGGCATGTACTATTGGCACTGGTCTTTGTAATGGATCGAAGGGATGTGAATGCTGATCAACCTTGCCATTACTTCCATTTTGCTCTAGAGAATATGCTCAGCAAGACAGAAGATCAGCAAAATCACAGTGCGTCTACCGGTCTAGACTTTGACATTTACCCTGTCTTGGAACAGTCTGGACAAGGCATATACTTGCATTTTCTTCTTTTGATTGAATGTCCACAATGTTATTAAGGGATTTCTGGTTTCTTCTTTGGATTGATTACCAGATGATCAGGTATAGAAGTGATACCCAGATCCTCCTCCTTCCCGTCTGCTTCATAGTAAGAGTATATTTTGAAATAATGGAATGTTTTAATGAGGAAATACTTGAGGAAAACTGTATAAGCGCTGTAAACTATGCCTCTTGCTGTCCAAAAGCTTTGTGCAACTAGCACACAAATGGTTGCTTATACCAGGCTGTTTGCCCGAGTGGAGCTACCCAACGAAATCATGCTGAATTGGGCAGCCAGCCTTGTTGCCTGACCAGTGTATGAGACAAAGAGGTGGGGAATTGAACCCTTAAGTACTTCTTTTTAATATCAACAAGAGATGTCCAAGCAAGGCCTTGAATGTTAAGACTGAAGTCACAGTGTGCTTCATCAATGATCTGGATAAAGGATAGAGTGTACCATCAGCAAGTTTGCTGATGACAGAAAACTGGGAGGGGTGGCTGACACAGTGGAAGGCTGTGCTGCGATTCAGCATGACCTGGACAGGCTGGAAAGCTGGGCAGAGAGAAACCTTATGAAATTCAACAAAGGCAAGTGTAGGGTCCTGCATCTGGGGAGGAATAACCCCATGCATCTGTACAGGTTAGGGGCTGACCTGCTGGAGAGCAGCTCTGTGGAAAGGGACCTGGGAGTCCTGGTGGACAACTGGATGACCATGAGCCAGTAGTGTGCCCTGGTGGCCCAGAAAGCCAGTGGCGTCCTGGGGTGCATCAGGAAGAGTGTGGCCAGCAGGTCGAGGGAGGTCACAGAATCACAGAATTTTCAGAGTTGGAAGGGACCTCTAGAGATCATCTAGTCCAACTCCCCTGCTAAAGCAGGATTGCCCAGAGCACATTACTCAGGACTGCATCCAGG